CCCCAAAACCCCAAAACCCCAAAACCCCAAAACCCCAAAACCCCAAAACCCCATCTGTTTTGTATAATATTTATCCTTCTTTAAAAATAATGGAAGAAGACATCGCTCCGAATTATGAGATCAGAAGGAAGAATTTTCAGGGAACCTTGCCTGTTCAGATCAGGCTAGATTACTCAGAGATTTATATTGATAAGGAGTTACCGACTTATTATATCATGCAGCCAAGGATGTCCTACTTCTTTCTGCTCATTCCCCAGTTGATAGAGTTCTACTCAGAGCTTTTGGAAGGAAAGGGGATTAGTAATGATGAATATTGGTTCAGCTGCAGAGGAGAGCCTCTGAGATTTGACCTACCAATTGGAGTATTATATGATACTTTTATTCGAGAGAATTCTAGTCATGACAACCTACCTTTTAAAATTTGTCTTCATTATCATAAGTTTCCAACCTACTCATTACAGAAAGGAATGAGTAAATATATCTTCCAGCAATCTTTGAAGGAAAGCTCCATGATGAGAGTCGGAAAGGCTACTGCAGTCCAAGATAGACTTGAACATGTCAGGTCAATGCTGAATTCCATCAAAGAAGGCAAATATGATGACTTCTGGAGATACAATGAGGAAATTGGGGAGCATAGTCTGAGTCAACTCAAGTATTTCCCCGTCAGGATTGTTATCAACAGACATTATCACCCATACATGCTCAAGGAGGAGAAGGATAGCATAAAAGGGAATGCATTTGTAATCCAGAGACCAGTCAAAGTTGATGCAACAGATATTTGAATTGGAGAGTATTTAGCAAAAACTTTATCAAAATACTTCTTCATCCAAACAGAAGTTATAGTTGATGAAGACAATATTGAAGAGGAAAAACAAAATGAAGTTGAGGTTGTTGAGAGATCAATTAAGGGGACTGAGGTCATCGTCAATGGACTGGATATCGACCTTGATACAAGTCTGACTTGGCTCATCATGAATCTATCAGCTCAAGACAACTTTCTGTACATCACAGTGCGAGTTCCAAGTGAAAGTATTGAATAATTATTCAGTAGAGGTTTAAAAAAGGGGTTTTGGGGTTTTGGGGTTTTGGGGTTTTGGGG